GCCCATCTCTAATGGCCACCGATCTGCTGCACTTGAGTTGTTTGTGCCCTCAGAAGATGGATCCTACGGAAGGTTTGTGAAGGGATTTCTCTGATTACAAAACAAATATCTCTCTCTCTCTCTCTATATATATATATCTCTCTCTCTCTCTCTCTTCATATGTGTATTACTTATTCTGAATGATATGGATTAGTTTGTGAATTTTGTGACATTTCCCGTCTTTCTCTCCCAGTCTATCAGTATCTCTTTCTATGGATGTCTAGCTTGTAAATTTTGTAACATTTGCTCTTTCTCTGTATCTGTATCTCTTTTTATGATAATTACCATGGCCAACTGATCAATGTCAATTAACATGATTTTTTATGGTTTCCTAACTGTGCATCTCTCTCCTTCTCTCTCTCGTTTTAGTGCTATTAGTAAGGTGGAGCATCCTGGTTATGGTTGCATCTTATAATACTTTTTCTCTCAGTCTTTTCTGTCCTATGTTTTACTTTGTTTGGGCTTCAATTCCAGTTTGTTTGCGTGCATACGCCTAGACACAGTAGATTGGGGTTGCAATCGATTGTCAGTTTTTAGTATTTAAAGGGTTTGAGTTTTATTGGTTGGAAGCTACTCTGTGGTAAGAAACAATTGAGGTCCAGGGTGATCTCTTATGCTGCGAGAAACTTTCTATCTTAAAACCCCTAATTTTTTGAATTATAGATGTTTGGAACAAGCAATTATCCCCTTCTGCTGTGAGATCTTGAACCCGAAGAAAGTTGTACTCCAGTGGTTTCTGCTATTTCACTTCAGTTGCTTGCAGATAGTTGTTGATAACACTCTTATTTTCCATATCTTCCACCCCCATATGCTGCAATAACACCCTAGTACCCTCTCTGTCTAACTCTCGCCAACCTATGCTCTGCTGCTCTGTATGTGTTGCTTTTGGTTTTTTAAAGGATAAATTTTTCACTGTTTCCTCTTGATCTAATATGTAGGGAATAGTTAATCGGAGTCCTGAGTCTGAGTATTTTGCTTCACATGCTTTAAACATCAGAAGTTAGATAATGAATTCTAGAGTTTACATGCTGCTTGGTTCACTTGTTCTATGAGGATGATGATTGCCTTACCTAAGTTTTTTTTGGCGTAGATTTTTCATATGTGTTGATGGGCCAATGGCCTTTTGGATAGATTCTAATTATGTAAATATAGTTCTTGTGTGAGGCATTGTCTCTTCTCTAATGGAGAAGTGATTCAATTGTTTTTAAAAGAATTCCAACAAAAATAAAAATAAAGACAAGCAAGAGGTCTTTTATTTTGATTATTCAACAGCCTCCCATTGTTCAGAAGAAATGAAACTAGATTGCAAGGCCTAATCAGCCATCACTACCTCTTGCTGGCAATCAAACTGTCAACACTTAAAAATGTGGTTTGGCTTGGATCCTTATCATTTATATGTTTGTGTTCATAACTTGCATATGCACCATTGTGCTGACCATGTGACTTGCTCTCAAACATCATGAGCTTTAGTTTTCCTACTAGGCGGTAACTAACCAATGCCCAGTATCCCTTTTAAGGTGCATATATGAAAGTTGATGAATCCCATAGCCGTTTAAAAAGGCTAGGTTGTGTTAGGTAGGCAGCCAACATAAAATTTTACCAAAACTTATCATGAATCCTGAATCTACGAGATTTGCTTATGCTAGGGCATGGTATTTAATAGAGCAGACTGGCGGACCAAGATTCGTGCTGTTGACCCCAAGTAATTGGGAAAAAGCTATAATGATGATGATTATCATGATGTTTTTGAATTATGTGGATCACTGTCGTTAAACAAGCAAATTCTACTAGAATCTTCATTCCTTTATGTATAAGAGTGACAGTGTGAAGTTTGTCTCTCTCTCTCTCTATATATATCTTGCGTGACTACTTTTTCTTATGTGACAGTAACATGGTTTGCCACACACAGACACACACACACACACTGAATTTTAACATCATGTAATGTGGTGAAGTGGTTATAATTTTGACTTCCCATTGTTTGCATAAAGATCATCGTTTGATATTTTTTAATAGGTGCCTTGGTTTCTGTAGATGTGCTCTATGTAAGCACAATTAGGTGATTGATTTTGTTTGCCATTGGTTTCACAGTTTAGAGGAAACATATGAGGCGCTGAGAACATTTCAAATCCTTGGTGTAAAGCCCAAAAATGATGTTCATCAAAAAGCATGCTCACTTGTACTTGGGGCTCTGAAATCTTCATCGACCATCACAAAGGAACTTTTCTATGCTCTCAAGGTCAATGGCCTAGTGAATTGTCAACTAGATGGTGGCCTCCTTAAGGTACTCTCATAAGTTTTGTTCCCTTATGCTTTTTGTTGTGTAGGGTTAAGTTTGTGAAGTATTTCTATTCCAGGATACTTTGTTAGGACTTTTCTTCACCTTATTTCTTTTTTTGCATACTAAATGATGCTTTTGCTATTTTCTCCTTTTTTTTCCAGGGCGTTGCTTCAAGCCTTCAAAAGGCCGTGAAAGATGCAAACGCGTTGTTTGATTATTATTACTCAGTTGGAGGCTTGGTACTTATCAAGGTATCAGTGATTAGAATTCACATTGTTAGATGTCATTTGATTGCCTATTGTACTTCTTTTTAGTGGTTGGTCTATTTTTAGTGTTTGTCCTTATTGAAGTTTTTTTTGGAGTATGTGGAGATCATTTTGCATGAAGTAGTTAAATCCTTCTTACCAAAATTCATCTGCATATTTTTTGATGATAATCTAATGGGCATGTAATAACATTCAGACAAAAATCTAATAGGCGTGTGATGTATGTTCAAGTTTTCACTTGGTTTACTATGGAAGAGAATGGGCACTTGCAAAATGTTGAATATTTGCTGTCGAATCGGTTCGCTTACCCATTTGATGACTAAGTTTTATGCTAAGTTTTTTTTTCTCTCTTTCTCTCTAATAAATTATTCTTCCTTGCTTTTATCATCATCAGAATCATGTCATGGACATGAATGGGCATGAATATGTGATGAATTAGCTATTGCTAGGGTCTTCAAAGTGTTCTTATGTGTTGAGACTCGTCAACTTCTACCCCATTTTGGTTTTCTTTTATGCTTTTATAGTTGATCGACCAACCTCTTACTTCCTCAAAAGGAAGTGGAACTTTTTTTTTTTAAGGATGAAAATGGAGCAATAGTTTTATCGCTCCTAGCATTCTTATTCCCTGAGTTCCATAATTTCGTTTTTTTTTGCCATTCTGCCCAAATGTGAATTTCACAACATTTTTGTTATCCTTGGGAAAGTTTCTTTTGAAATAGGAATACTGTCTTTTACATTTTTCAGGGAAATTTATGCTGTTTTCTCTATAGTTGTTGGTTTCCTGAGCATAAATTAAATTTGATGCAGGAACAAGGATCCGAAAGCAACACAATTCTTGCGGATGGCAGCAATGTTTTCCACTCCATCAAGGTGAAGAAATTCCACTGTTGCACTTCTTGTTTTCTTTTTTGAGAAATCCACTATTTGTTTCTTGATTTGAAACTGTCTGCAAAACATAACTATATGCTAACTAGAAAAAAGCAGAAAAAGAAAATGGATGACTATATGTCACAAATTATTGCATTTTACTCTTTACAGGCACTTAGTCAAAGTGATGGGACATGGCGCTTTAGATCCGATGGAACAGAATCCAGTACTTACGCTGCAGGTTTCTGTCAAGCTGAAGCTATTCCTTTTAGTGATTGCTCTAGTTTACCTTTTTAGTCTCCCTATAAGATGGCAGCCCTGTTCTGATGAAGCTACTAATGATCAGACATCACCTTAATACTTTTGATTAGTATGTGTGATAAGGTCATCAAAATTTGAAACTGTAATTTAGGTTTTCTAGCATTAGACAACATATGTAAGCCTGTTTCCTTCTAACTCATTTTTTTGTCATTTCTGACATTATACTTCCTTCATGCTATGCTTTCTTCATGCAGGAATAGCATTTGAAACACTTGCAGGCATTGTGGCTTTATCAGATTCTGAGATCGATCAATCAATGGTAAGAATCTGTAGTGACATGTGAAAGTTGGTGGATTGGTGATGGTTTATTTACATTATAAAATCTCCATGTATTTAAAACTTCATACTTAACTTTTTATGTGGTTTAATGTCGGAAATGAAAGCACTGCAATATAGATTCTGAAAGTCTGAAATTGACAGATGAACATATACTATAGCTGAAGAAGTTCTGTTTTTAGATCACGATAGTGTTTTAAACTTGAGTTAATCCTTTTCACGGTTTATCTTTCATTTATTTGGGATTTATGCATAAGCATGCCTTGTTCTTTGACAATATCTTGTCATTCCATCTTTGACTTCAACATCTCCATCTTTAATATCTATAACTGATGTATATGAAATAATTCACCTGGACTGAGTATCAGGATCTCCTAGATATTGAAATCAGAACCACAGAAGACTATAGATTAAAAAGAAAAAGAAAAGAAGAAAAAACACAGATGAGCTGTATGCTGTCAGTTTGTTTGTCAGAATTGAACATGCGAGGTTCCTTGTGTGACATATCTGGAACTCGTGGAAGGGGCAACATTGAATCTGGAATCCCACAACTTTTGTGAAGCATCATGTTTGTGAATTTATTTTTTTTCCATTTCAAATGGCATATTTTTCCTTTGAAATAACTTCTGGGATCTAATCTATGTCCACTTAGACTTTTTTTTTAGCAAGAAAGCTTGTATAGTTTTTCTTTAGCAAATTCTAATTCATTCTTCTTCACAGATAGGTATCGTCAAGAATGATATAACGAAGCTGTTTGACAGTCTAGAAAGCTATGGTAAGTATTTGAAATTGTTCTCTGCTTCTAATCTGTATTCTCTTCTTTTTAAATGCATGTGTAGATTTTTTGTGCAAGTCTTCTGTCTCTTCTTGGTTACTTTGTATTCAATTTTTTCTTTTTCGTTTGTTGTCTGTGCCGTGAAAGCTGTCTCATTCATGTATGCATCTCAAACAAAGTGGATCTGGTCATGTATTGACTAGCTTTTGAACTTACTGAAAATTGTTAGTAAAAATTGAAGAAGGGGAAAACAAACTTTCTGCTTATAGGAGGTTTCGATGGGAAAGAAGCCAATATGGTCCGGTCCATTTTCATAACTTTTTTCTCTTATCAATTCTGGGGTCTATGAGCTTTATATATGATATCTAGGCCTATTGGATCCTGTTGTTTTGGTTTATGGGTTCTTTGGTGTCTTTGTGGTATGATGTTTGGTAGTAGGTGATCATCGAATGATGTTTCTGGCTTATTCGTTAATTTGTTTAGAGGACAAGGTTTCAAGGACTGATATTTTGAGAATGAAGTCAGTTATTTCTGATATAATGGTGCAAATTGCAAAAAGTGTGCCCTCTCCAAGTAAAGGGTGTCTTGTTTTGTTCCACTTGTTATGTTTTACTTCGGCAATCTTCCCCTTGGTTAGGTTGGTTAATTCATGGTCTATTGTTAGTGTCTTTATTACATGACTTAGATCCAGATATAAAGCTGGATATTTCCTTTAGGCAGATCTGTTTTTTTTTTTCGCTAATTGCATATGATTAAAAATGCACATCTAATCTTCTTCCTTTTCACTGGCCTATGCACTTCGTTACGTCCTTCAATTTTGAGTTTTTATTTATGAATTGTACTTGCATGTGTGGTTCTGCTATTCTACAGATGATGGGGCTTCATACTTTGATGAGAAACGGTTGGATGCCAGTAAATATCATGGTCCTTTATCTACTACTTCATCAGTTGTGCGTGGGATTGCAGAATTTGGAGCAGTTATTCCCGGAAGGTTGAATGTGAGTACCTATGCGGCACATTATTGTTTGCTTCATGTAAATTTCTCTCGGCAACATTTTTCTTGTTCAGACTTTGCTACCAAATTTCTCCTCTGCATGGATTTGACTTTTGCAGATCCCGGGAGATAAAATTTTGGGTTTGGCGAACTTTTTGCTTAGCATTGGAGTACCACGCAGCACCAAAGATTTATATGACCAGCTTGATGCTTTGTCTAGATTGGAGAATAACAGGCAAGTTGATCTGATCCTATGCTTCTCTGATATGTCATGGAGCTGTGGAATGTATCATGGCAATTATAACAAAAGTTTTCTTTTTTGAAGTTTGCTATTGCTGTTAGGGTACATTTATGGTTATGGATCACCTGAATTGTCATAGCCTTTCCTGTTTTATATGTAGGCTTTTCATGTTTGCTGTGTTTACATACTTGTTGGTCCTTTTGATCGGGTTGTGTTATTTCATGTTGGATATAATTCATTTAGTGAGAAGAGATCAATAGTTTATTTTTGTGATTGACATAAGTAAATGATGTTACGCAATTTGGCCTTTTCTTATGTATTTTTGCACCTATATTTCTCCCTCTCAATAATTTCGTTAAGTGACACTCTTTATTGAGATTCTTGAGAAGTTATAAATTACTCATCAAATCATAGAATTTACCTTGTCAGTTGTTTTAGTGATGGGTGAAGGATTCATAATTGCGAGTAAATTATTGTTAGTCATCTTATGTGAAGTTCTTATGCAATAGATAAATTATATGTACAGTTTTGTGAATGAGAAATTATATCTTCTTGACCTATGGAAGATAAGTCCCATCATAAAAAAAAAAGGACGGATAGAAGATATTTTTGAGTCTGATTGTTCACTATGTTGTTTATACTAGGACTTCTGTGCATTTTATTTATTGCAGGGCCATCTTCCTTCTGAAGTAGATAGTATCCTTTTTTTAACTAGTATAAACTGGAATCAGTAGATAAAATATTTTGAAGTGTCATCTGATTTGATGTTGCATTGTGTTTTATGATGTCTTCTCGGGACTGATAAATTGGTATTTATTTGGTTTGATTCATATGATGACCTATACTTTGTTATATTATACTTGTGCATCCTTTTTGAATTTTTTTTAATTAGTATAATTGCAGAAGTTATGGTTTGCTTTATATATTTCATATTTTTTTTAGTTTCCATTTTCCTTTTGAAGTGGTTTCAATTTTCACATTTCTGTGGTTGAAATGTCAAGTGAGCTTACTGAATTTCTGCTATAATTGACTTGCCTTTTATATGAAATTCTTCATCAATTCATAAAGTAAGGAATGTTAGTGTTATAATTTCTTTGGACATTTTCATCTTGTGCTTCTGTTTCTCTTGTATTTGTGATAGTAATGTACTTTTTACTTCTCATTATCCAGGATTTCCATTCCATTGGTTTTATCACTTCCTTCTACAGTTCTTTCTTTGACCTCAAAGGATAAGCTTGAGGTAAGTTTTTGTCTGTTCATGTTCTTTGCCCTGATAGTTTGTCATGGCATGGATTTGGAGCTCTACCATGATAAAGTTCTTCTTGTACTGTACTTAATTTAGAACTTGATTAATATTATAAGCAGTGCACTCTTCCTTCCTTGTGTCTTTGTTATTTAGTCCTTTTATCAGGATGATTTGTAGAGTTTCGCTGCATATGCATGTTGTCCATGACATTCTGTTGAATTGTTTGGAATCTTATTTGAGAATGCAGTTAACACGTTTACTTGTGGTGAATAGGTTGAATGGCTTGCCTCCTGCAACCCGCAACTGTAGTGTTTATGTCAGACTTATTATTCTGTGTTCAAGAGATTTATTAGAACTTCTGACAAGATATTTTTTTACTAGATGATGTTCCTTGCATGGATGGAGCATTACTGAATGAAAACATCTGCCTAAGATCTGAAGTCTGAAGTATTTGCATATATAGTCAGCAAATTTATATTTTTTAACAGTACAAGACTCAAGTGATTTGAGTCCCACATTGTTTCGTCCCTCACCATGGATAGGATCTAAGACCTGTGTGTTCTCTATTTTCTAAGGTAGTTTTGCCTTTTAGTCCCATGTTGGTTTTGTTTCATGTTCTGGTTCCCTCAATAGGCATTGAGGCTCCAAAGTAGTTTCAATTTTCTAAGATGTTGAAAGGCTGAGTAAACAGGAATTTTGTGTGTACCTCCTCAATTCTAGGTGAATAGTGAGGCTTCTCTTTCACGCCCTTTGACCTTAGCATCTTATTGTCTTCCATATATGCTTGCATCTTTTATTCAAACATTGTGACATTTTGCAACTATGTGCTTTTGTTTGTGTGTTGAGTGTTGCAGTTGTCTTGTGGTATCTCTTCATGGCTTTGAACCGCAGTTTGATATTATCAAATGAATGAACGGGTTATATTGGAGAACTCCTGCAAATTATATTCACGTAGGCTGATAAAGATTCCTTATTAGTCAATATATATGTATGAACACACGCATGCCCAAACATGCACACATATACTCAGTAAGGTCCTGTTTGGACATCCACTTTCACAGGCTTAGAAATAAAACTTCCTTATGGTTGTGTTGGAATAGGTCGCATGCCAGCTTGGCACTGTCCTTTTCATGGATACAGTTTCTGGAATGAAACCCCGCTTGTTCGGCAAAACACCACCAATGATGGGTTCTGCTGATAGCAACAAAACATAAAGAGAAAACTTCTTGCTGCTATTGGCCGAAAACAAGCATTTTGTTGCAGGTGTTTTTGTCCAAGGTTGAACACCTGTTTTCACAGTCTCCCATTACAGCTGGTAAAGATCAGGCTAGGATACATCTATCGGCCTAATGGGGCCTAAGAGACTGAGCATAATCATGATACTAGGCAGACCATGTTTTAGATTCCTAGTCAACTATATTTGTACTTTGTATTCACCATCATTCACTTTTGTTGTTTCAGGTTAAGGTGTCCACAGTACTGGGTTCTGATGCTCCTCCTTTGACATTGAATCTTATGCAAGCTGTCAATTCAATCTCAAAGGATGCCCCTGCAATACAGGGACAGGTACACATTTTTGACATCAGACACATCACGAATCACCTGCCGTTTTTTCTAGCAAACTTCAGTATTTTTCTCTGACTCAGAAAAAAGCTTCCTTATTCATTTATTTTGGTTTTTATCTTATGTGACTCTATTGTTAGAGCATGTATCAAACTGTTCCAAAATGCTAGTATTCGTGCAGGAACTCAAGTTTGACATGGGAAGTTCTGTTTATATGCTCGATTTCCTTTCTATGGGCATTGATGTGGGAACTTATGACTTGGTCTTTGAGGTGAATTGGTTTCCATTTGGCTAGTTTATCAAAATTTTACGTGATTTTCCATTTGGTCAGTTGTAGTCAAATTTTTACATGATTTTCGTACATTGTACCATGTAATTTTTTTACAATTATAGAAAAACAGAGAACATTTTTTTTTTTTTAAAATACTTGATTTTGATATGAGTGCTTTCCGTGGTTTTCTAGGTTTTGCTTCATGATTCCGAGCAGAGCAAGGTTTATACTACTGGAGGCAGAACCAAAGCATCGATAGTTGTTACAGGCATCATCAAAATCGACAATGCAGAATTAGCAGTACTGGATAGTGATGTGGGCAGTGTAGAGACATTGAAAAAGTAGGTTTTGTATGTATAATTTTTGTAAAACCTGCGTTTTTCTTCAGTGTGTATGCTCTTGGAATTGGCATATAGGTGTCTGAATGTGAGGTGTGTGGTATGTGTTTTGTATTCGCCAGTGCTGCCCTAATGAACAGTAGTACCCATTTGTTGGTGTGAAATAAAAGCATCTGACGTTAATGTGTATGTAGGACTGATCTTATGTTCTTTTGCTTCTCGTGTAGGTTAGATTTGTCCAAAGAAAGTACTGTTTCTCTGTCTGCAAACCATTTACAGAAGTTACGTCTATCCTTCCACTTGGCCACTCCTCATGATAACCCTTTTAAACCACATCAGGTAAGCAGGTAGTTTTTATGTACTGTCTTTTAGTGCTTCCCTCATTCAATTTGAAGTGGCTTTTTTTTTTTTTGGTAAATATATGAGGCTTCTTATTCTGATAAATATGTGATGCACTTCTTTTCCTGCAGGTGTTCCTTAAGTTGAAACATGAGACCGGAGTTGAGCATGCATTCACAATTGTAAATTCTGGAAAGAAGTTCGAGATAATCATGGTTAAGCTCCTTGCCATATTTGATGTCAATGCTTCTCATATCTTTCTGCGTAGTTATATAAAATTTATTAACCGCTTGTGGCGAATTTTGTCGTTTACTAGCGTCCATAGTTGAAAGAAGGAAGCGTATGGTCCAAAAAAATGTTTGTCTTACAGTAGAAGGAACCAGTTATGGGAGGCTTGAAATTAGTTAGAGAGATGAGTGGATTCCTCAAAATGTTTTCCAACTTCAAGTTTTAAACGTAACAAAAAATGTTGTCTAGAAACAAAAAAGGACATTGCTGTGTGTTAATATTTTTTGACCCTAGAAACTTGAATATAGTAGTTGCTTGAAGCTTTTCACTGCCCACCCTATACAAATTGAATACCGGTAATATGTGGCATTCTCCAACACCATCAAATAAATAGAAAAAAGTGAGAAATTAGGATGACATCCATCATGATTGTTACATGTGATTCTATGTTCAGTAGTTGATAGCATGGTTGTTGCTTGTAGGACTTCCTTGGTTTGGTTGAAAAGTTGTACTATCTCTCCGGGAAATATGATATTGAGCTCACAGTCGGTGACTCTGTGATGGTATGCTTTGGCCTGTACTTTTCTCTATCCTCTCTTTCTTATCTGAATTTTCACCTTGTGAAAATATACTGTATTGCAATGGACTGAGAAATTATAGCCCATTTGAGTCATCTCTCATTTGAAATGATGGATGATGATGAAGCAATGTGGTTCTCCCATAGTCCATTGGATTACAGTATGCATTCCTTTTCACCTTTTGGTCTAGGGGGTAGTTTAGCCAGTGTGTTCTTGTTGGTGGTGGTTCCTTTTTCTTAAATAACACAATCATGGTTTGCTTCTACAGGAGAATTCATTCTTAAGTGCACTTGGCCATGTCGAACTTGATCTACCAGATCCTCCAGAAAAGGCGCCACACGCGCCTGCCCTGCCTGTTGATCCATATTCAAGATTTGGCGCCAAGACCGAGATATCACACATCTTTAGGGCACCCGAAAAACGCCCACCCAAAGAGCTCTCCCTTGCATTCTTGGCTCTTACTCTGCTACCTTTTGTCGGGTTCCTTGTTGGGGTAAATTCTTTTTGTTATTTTATTTTGGGAAAGTATACTACAATCTTATGGACTGTAAATGCACATTGTCCAATGGGAGTCATTACCTTCCAAATCCAATCAAATGATGGATGGTGATGAAGAGAGTGGATTGCTTGGACCCCACATAGCCAAATTGTGGGTTGCCCTGTCTCTCTATGTCATTCATTCATCATTTCATTGGACAGTGATGTCCCTGATGGGCTATGTTTTCGCACAGTTCGTAGTGTGTGTGTGTGTGCGCGCAAAAATTCTATGTTTTATGTGGTGACCCTACACCTAACCACTAAACCGAAATCCCTCATTTGTGGTGAAATATTTTGCCCTGGTAGGTTATTGTGGTGAAATGTTGCTGGCAAATTTGTTGATTTTTCGCTGACCATCTTTTAATGGATCAGTGATTATTTAGATCGTTTAATTTGCCCGTTTCATCCTGAGTTATATATTCTCATTTCTTGCAGCTTCTTAGGTTGGGAGTTAATTTGAAGAATTTCCCTTCATCTGCACTTCCAGCTGGGTTTGCAATCCTCTTCCAAGGTGGCATTGGAGCTGTGCTTATACTCTATGTTCTTTTCTGGATCAAGGTTCTCTTTCTGATACTTAGTTGTCTTTGCATTAGTTTTGGAAAGTTATCAAAATACGCCCAACTTTTCAACAATTTAATAAGTTGCCATTTTTTAACTGTTCCAATTCATGATCATGTGTATTTGGATCGGTACTTTGGAACTTAAATCAAAATATATGGATAAAATGTTCATAGTTGATCCCCTTTTGTGATTTCAGTAAATTTCCATTTATTTAGTTATTTTTCAACTTGTTGATGACCCAAAGTAGTTTAACAGTTAACCCTATTACACTATCATCACAGATTGAGTATACCTGGCTATAGTGCCGCAACAAATTGCAAAATGTGTTCTCTCTTGTGTGTGTGTGTGGAGTACCTTTTGCATATGTGAAACATCATTGTCATATTTGAGAATGGTTGGGAATTGTGATAACAAACAGAGATGCACACATTTAATAACTAAAAAGCCTGTGTTTTTCTCAAATATGCTTCAAGTGTGCCTTATATGAATTTATTTCCTGTCTTGTGAAACCTAATCATATATATGGGAATTATATACAATGAGACCATTTACTTTTAGTACAAGGAGGTCACAATCGGGAGTGGTTGGGAATGTGACATTGACTAAGCACAATGTCCAAAACAAAATTTCTTGAATGTTGCGATGCATTTCAATCCATTAAATATCGCATCCAATGGCTAAGAGTGATTGTGACTTTTTTGTGTCAAAAGTAAATGGTCTTTTATATATATATATATATATATATATATATATATTTGTTTTTAATGTATTTGTCGGTTCATTTAAAATTAGCAATACTCCTGATGTTCTTCCATCTCGAGTCATATAATATCTCAAAGGAAGATTTAATTGAAGTCTCTCTCTCTCTCATCCTTTGTTTATGGTGTTTGCAGCTGGATTTGTTCACAACTTTGAAGGTCCTCGGTCTCTTGGGAGTCTTTTTGGTGTTTGTAGGCCACAGGACTCTCTCCCATCTGGCCTCTGCATCAGCAAAGGTGAAATCAGCCTGAGGAGAGAGAAACAAGCTGCAATATCATCCAGTGGGAGGCTTGTTTTTCAATTTTGTTAGCCCGAGTGTTTTCGCTATCAATGCCTCTCTTAGTTTTTCTTTATTTTCCCCTTTTAACTAATTATTTGTAGAATATAATGGGGTTGATGATCTGCAGAACCCTTTTTCAAAGTTTATTAGAAGTATTTTTTTTCTCTATCAAATGTCCAAATTTTATCCAGTTTTATTGTCAAATAGATTAGTTTGTGTACGGTAGATTTTTACTGTGGATTTATGAAATGACATACAACAAACCAGAACCGCTTAAGTCGGACCAAGACCAGTACCAAGTACCTGGCTTGGATTTGGGAATGTGTAAACAACACCAAAACGGTTTATTATTAATAAATAAAACTAATATTTTTGGGTGATTTGACATTCCTAAACCTCGTTTAAACATTTTTAATGCTTTAAATCTTGCTTTCATTTTCTTTTTATAGTTTGACCGAGTTGACTTCTGTTTGATTTGCCGTTCCAATTTTTAAAACTTTAGTTGATTGTATCACAGGCTTTATGTATGAGCATTTATAGTATACTCCCTTGGGAGCATATTGTATATTTACTCCATTAGGCAAAACACTAACTTGGGACACTTTTTTCTTTTGTTGTTTGAAGCTTCAGGATGGAGGGACTCTATTGTATATTTACTCCATTGGGGAAAACACTAACTTGGGATAGTTTTCTTTTGTTATTTGAAGTTTCAGGGTCCATCTAAATATGATTAGTTGATTATTTCCAAATAAAAAAAATAAAAAAATTTAGAGTGTGACTTCATAAACATCTAGATCATTCCCTCCCCCCAAAAATTGGATGGTTCAGGTGCAGTCTTGGTATGATATTTCTTTTAGGCACATAGGCAAGTGAATTAAATTTTGTTAACTTTGAGGTCAGATTCCGGAGATCATATACCCAAAAAATTGAGATCACAAAGATAACCTGGGTAGGTTTTGCCTGAGGCAGTAAATGGATAGTGTACTTCCGTGGGAGTAGGAAGTGTTTTGGCTCATGTATTATGACCGAAAGAATCGGTTTATGGGAGGCTTTTAGAAACTTATATCATTTGTTGTAGTTTGCAGGAACCTTGTTCCTGTAGGTGCGGACACGCCTACCGAAGTTTGTCTGCCTTTCAGAATTCATCTTGGAGATGGATAGAGGATCCAAAACTTTGCAGGCCTATCATCTTAATTCCCAGAGTAAAGTTTAAGCTTTAAAAATGGATCAACTTTGCAACTCTTTCTGAGACTGTTCATTGCAATTCGTCAAAGATTATCAGAACTACATTTTCAGGCTCCAAATTTATAGATTTGAGGTGGAAATTGATCTGTTGTTGCATAGGATCTGAAAACCTAGTAGGCGTAGTGGGCTTCTGAGTCATTGGACTCATCAATAAATTTTCCATGAGTGTTTTGCCCTTATTATTACTTTTAAAAGTTGCAAGAAGTGGCTCATTAGTATTCTCTCTTTTGTAACTGTACTCAAATAGTTGGCAGAAGGCTCGAATCATGATGATGATTCTCTTTTACATTGAATTTTGTCGGTGCTTTATGTGTGTGCCAGCATAAACAGCTTACGCTTAGAGATGGTGATGATGGTGCGCTAGGAAATGTTTTTTCTTTTAGAAGGCTTTAATTGGTTTGAAAAAAATCCCCAATTGGATCTCGCTTGAAAATTATTAGTTTATAATTTCGTAGAGCAATTGGCAATTAAGATAAAGTCTTAACCCCTTAAATTAGTACAACAATTAATTTTATTTATTTATTGGTGCCTAGAATCACCAAAAATGATGCAAAAGAAGAATTGGAATTTAATCAAAATTGAGATTTCTTGGGAGGTTTATAGCTATTATCAATTAAGTATGTATGGACCATCCGCATAGTCTGATTTTGTATTTCTCACTTCCCAGTAAACCAAATTAGATAGATTCCGATGTAAGCTCTTCCTATGACTATGGATTTGTAAACAAATCAGATAAAGTAAATCAAATCATATGCATATAAAGGAAAGAGCGAAGAACTTAAAGATTCACGAACGAAACAAAGATATAATTACAACCATATGAATTCCATTTTGACATCAATATCATCACTTCAATTTCGATTATGGTATCTTGTCAACAGAAGACGGTTAATATGTGATGATCAATTATTTGTAGTAAGAGGCATGGTAATTACTTGGTCATGGGGATGAGAACATCTCATGGAATGGTGAGATGGAAAATTGTTTCTTCTGCCAAGAGAGAGAGAAAGAGAGGAGGGGGAGAGAGTAATTGTAAATAAAATAAGTGGAAATGAGCTTTAAAGATTTGCAGTGAGAGATGGGAGAACGGCTCTATTGTATTGGAGTATTGGAATTTTTAATTTCATTTATGGGGAATTGGCATTTTTAAAATTTTATTTAAGGGAGAGGAGAGAGAGAGAGAGAGAGAGAGATATTCTATATTCATCTGTCCTTATCAGTGGTTTCTTTTGATTGAAGTGAGAATACGGACGTTTTAGATATTTTCGTGTAGGAATATGTTACGGTTCTACAAATAAACAACATGCCCATGCTGCAATTCACAGGCACAGTGTCAGAATCCTGACTTGTGGTCTTAATTTCAGGTCCTCAGCTTCTCCTTATCTCTTCCCCAAAAATAATTGGAAGTTACAATTTGTAAGTCATTCACTAGAAACTAGATAAAGAAGCCCCAATAAATCAAACAATTTTGAACTTCAATTTATTCACCAGAAACTAGACAGAGAAGGCCCCCATAGATTTCACCCAGATTCCAAGGCTATTTTCTCTCTCCATCAGTTCTCACAGGTACTGTTCCTGTATATTTCTGAAATTCAATTCAGATTTATGGCATCCTTCCTGCAACTCTCTCATAATTTTTTCTCACTATAACAGCTGGAACACAGAAACCATGCTTCTCACCCAGTTCTCTCTCGCATAACTGTCTCATCCTTGGTCATCTCCATTAAATTCCAAAAATCATGGCCATTGTCCTCCTTGAATCCATCTCTAAGTGCCCTCTATTGCCCATCCAAACAAAACCCATTAACCACATTGATCACTTTTTCAAGCTTCCCATGGTCCACAACAGAAGCCCACTCAGAGCTTTGGCAGAAAGCGCCACCTGTGATAGGACTTTTAGATCAAACCAACTCAATTCTTCTGATTTCAATGAAACCCATTACATAAAACTCCTGAATCGATCATGCAAATCAGGAAAACTCAGTGAAACTCTGTATTTTCTTGACTACATGGTGAACAAAGGCCACCACCCAGATGTAATCCTATGCACCAAGCTTATCAAAGGTTTTTGCAGTGCAAAAAATGCTGAAAAAGCTATGAGAGTGATGAAGATTCTAGAGAGCTATGGAAACCCTGATATCTTTGCCTACAATACTCTGATAAATGGATTATGCAAGTTGAATTTGATTGATTCTGCAACCAAGACTTTCAATCGGATGCTTGAAACACAATGCCACCCTGATATTGTTACTTATAATATATTGATAGGTAGCTTGTGTAGTAGAGGAGAACTAGATTTGGCCATGAAATTTTTAGATAGATTATTGGAGAACAATTGTAGCCCAACTGTGGTCACTTATACTATACTAATTGAAGCAACATGCAACATCGGCGGAATTGATGAGGCCATGAAGCTTTTAGATGAAATGTTAGCGAGAAATCTTCATCCTGATATGTTCACTTACAATGTGATTATCAGAGGCATGTGTAAAGAGGGAAAGTTAGATGTGGCCTTGGAGCTTTTCAGAACCAAAGTAAATTGTGAACCTGACACAATCTCTTATAACATTTTGTTGAGGGCTCTTTTGAGTCAACAGAGATGGGGTGATGCCGAGAATATCTTATCAGAGATGATTAGCAATGGCTATGAGCCCAATGTGGTCACATATAGTATCATAATTGGGGCTCTTTGCCAAGAGGGTAAAGTGAACCAGGCTATTGATATCTTGAAGGACATGATGGAGAGAGGACTAAAACCCGATTCATACAGTTATGAACCGTTGATTTCAGCATTTTGCAGAGAGGGAAAACTGGACATGGCTATATCATTCATAGAGCACATGATCTGTAATGGTTGTGAGCTTGATATCATAAATTATAACACTCTTCTATCAGCTTTTTGCAAGGTGGGTGAGGCCAATGAAGCCCTAGAAATTCTTGAGAATCTCTGGGAAACTAGGTTGTGTTCTCCTGATGCGAGTTCTTATAACACTGTGATCTATGGGCTGTGGAGTAATGGTGATCAACTGCGAGCCTTGAAGCTTGTCCGTGTTATGGTTGGTAGAGGGGTTGACCCTGACAACATCACTTACAACATACTTATTAATTGTCTATGTCGAGATGGTTTGGTGGACCATGCTTTGATCCTATTGGAAGATATGAAGAGAGCGGGGTTTGAACCCACTGTGATTACATACAACACTGTGATTTTGGGGCTGTGCAAAATGCATAGGATTGATATGTGTATTGATATGCTTGCAAAGATGGTAGAAAGAGGGTGCCTGCCAATCGAAGCGACTTATGTAATACTAATTGAGGGAGTAGCATATGATGGGTTGTTAGCTGAGGCAGTAGGATTGGTGGAGGCACTTCTCACTAGAGGGGTTTTCTCCAAGGAGTCATTGAAGAGGCTGTATAAGACCCTTTCCATGCTTGAATCTTACAAGCATTCATCACATTTGGATAACAAGAAGTTGATGGAGAAGACTCATGAGGAGTTCCCTTGCAAGCACTCTAAGCAGAGTCAAACTCAAGAATTGTGGCCTTAAGAATTCATCTCATTGATCACTCTCTTGAATTCGAAAATTTGACAAGACAAAGGGAGCAATTGGGGGATTGTATTATAAAAGACCGGTTACAGGTGCAACTGGTTGTAACAAAGTGATACTGTTTATATCTATTGAAAATTTGAAATTGGTGACATGCCTTGTCCTCGGAAGCTGTCCGATGCTCGAGCCAAAGATGCATGAATGTCACTGAATAAAGTTTGTCAACTGATAAGTGCTAATTTAAGAGTAATCTTGCATGTCACATTTATAATACATATGTATGTGTAGATGTATGCATGCATATCTTTGAAAGAAATACATTATTCCAGTTGACATCAGAGTTTGATACTGAAATGAGCTTCTTCTTCCTATTTTGGGTTGCAGTGAATAAAAGGGTGTGGTGTTAGGTAATCCATCAAATGTTTTTTATTTGAGGATTAGCTGCCACAAAAGACACTTATACCCAAGGAGAAATGTATTCAGCAATCCACCCTATGCTTTTTATTTCCTTCCAGAACATTAGGGGCAATGCCATTGTATTTGGGTTTGATAACTTTTTCGTAAAGGATACATATGGATTAAAGATTGATTTGAAAAAATTAAACAGTTTTGGGGCTAAGGGTGTGATTTACAAATTATTGGGGTTGACAATGCCTAAATCACATATGCTTTCCAAATACATTCTAATGACAATGCACAAATCGCCCTTGGGCTTGGTTTTGTTGTTGATGACATCAAAAAAACCTCGAGTTTGATTAGAACTCGTAAATGTGGGTGTAAGTGGGTTTGGGGCAACACAGAGTGTTAAGCTAATGGACCTTATATTCAGGCTTAGCCTAACCCAGCAGGCCTCTTAAGGGGGATCAAACTCGGTACTTTGATACCCACCTGACTGGCGAACCCGTTTACACCCTGTTAATTGAAAAGCCTTATAAAGCATTGACTATCACCTACCATACATTGATAGTTTTTAACAAATCTATACCGTTTAAGTAAAATGGATGGAATAGAGTACGCAAAGGTAGTTCTAAAATTAAAGTTAAATCTTATAAACCATTAGAGTGTCGACCCAGCCTTAGGATAGAATTTTGAACTCACATAGATTACGCACCGTGAGTTCTGACCTGGCTTAATCTTTGGTTCAATACAATGAATTGAGGTCCGTTTGACACTTTTGAGTGTCGATAAAAAATAAAGTTTTTTTCTTTAAAATTTAATGTACTTGAGTGCAAAGGGCATTTTCACCTAAAATAATGTGCTAAATAGTATCAAACAATATCAATATATTGGGTGTATCTGAAGGAAAGAGTTTATATGAGTTGCCAAGCTTATACTATTAAAGTAGGGTACACCTTAAAAATCCTCTACAAGATAGTGTTCCGACAGTGAAAATCTTTCAATTGATCATATCGACTTCTAGATAGATAAAAAATGATTTCAAACTAAAAACAGTATATCTTATAACAAGTTATCAAGTTTTTTAATGTTTATAGATCAATTTGATTTAATACCATTTTTATAATTTTAAATTTTATAGTTAGAAATAGGAATAGATATTCAAGAGCAAGAGAAGTTTATATAGAACCAAGGCTCTAAAGAATCAAATAGGTAGGCTCTAATTTGATTGTTTAGAGCCTAGGTTCTATACAAACCACACCCTTCAAGTAATTACTAGGTTTTTAAACATCAAAAAATATGCCATTAGGTCAAATTTAGAGGTACACCTTACTTCTACAGTCTAACGACACATCTATATAAACCTCCCCGGTATCGGATGTAATTTTTTAGGGCTTAGGTTTTATGAAAACAAAGTAAAGCTTCACTCCAAATCCTTCACAAAGCACTTTGGGTATTGGAAATCTCCATAACGGCTCTAAAATTAATTTTCAACATGGACTATCAAATTTCAAGCTAAAAAAATAATACGATTCACAAGATCTGTGAACACTTATTATTAGGGCAAAATAAACAGTCTTGATAATTTGTTGCAATATACATTCTTTTTAGAGCTTGAAAACTATTTGTTTTTTATGACCATAATGGTCAAGGCTGATAATATAGATTTGAAGAATTTTCGACACCAGAATTATAATTTTGACGAGTTTTAAGGTGAGGCTTTATTTTGATAGGGCCCTATCAAAGCATTTTCCCTAAAGAAATAGGAGTGGGGACCTCTGGGCGGAAACCTCAAAGTACGGTTTCCCCCATAAAGCTCTTTATTTATCCTCTCCCTACCCCTTCACGCCCTCTCTCTCTCTAGAAATTGTTGCTCTCACTCTACCCCCTCACACACGCACGCCCCAATCCCTGTCTCACTACAAATCGTTTATCTACGTTTATGTAGAGGTAGAAATTTGAATCTCAGAGAGAAAGAAATGTTCCCCCAATGCCTATACAGGGTTGAAGTGAATTCATGGGAAAGAGGCCTATTTGTGTATACGTGAGATGAAAAGAGTCAATCCGAAGCGGTAAATATGGCTTTTTCCATTGATTTTCATCAGTTAATAGGAAGCCCAACAAGCTTTTATGAATTCTTGTTGATGCCAAATTCCAATAGCATTAGATTATGCCAACCCAAATTGGAATTTGGTGTTGGGACCAATTTTTTCAGAAGAAAAAGTTCACTTTTTCGATGTCGAGGACATCAGGGAAGTGTTTGCATTGATAAAATCAATCAATATGAGGGACTAGCTGAAAAACTAATGGCTACCCATCAAAAACTTGCTGATTTTGATAGAAAGAACCCACCATTTCCTAGGAGTTCTTTTTCAGAAGGACCCTATAACGAGAACAATCAAGACTCAAACAATGCAATCATTCAATCTTTTTGCAGGCATGGAAGATTGGTCGAGGCCTCTAATCTCATAGAGATCATGACTCGTATTAGCCAGATCCCAGACTTTCATTCATGTATAAGCATAATTAGGGGGTTGATAAAGGGTGAAAGAGTCGACAAAGCTGTAAGGGTTCTACGCCTAATGGTTATGTCAGGTGGGGTTCCTGATATAATCACATATAACATGCTTATCAGTGGTTTATGTCGAAAAGGGCAGTTAAAAACCACTATCTCTATTCTAGATGACATGAGTGCTAGTGGTTGTGCCCCTGATGTTATTACATATAACACAATAATCAGAAGCATGTTCCTGAGAGGAAAGTTCAATCAAGCAATTACCTTTTGGTTGAATCAATTGAGAAATGGATGCCCCCCATATGTTATAACTTCCACCGTCTTGGTTGAATTAGTCTGGAAACATTGTGGTATAGAACAAGCGATGGAGGTCTTAGATGAAATGGAAATCAAGGGTTGCTACGTTGACGTAGTTCTGTATAATTCTCTTATTAGTTCTGCATGTAAAGTGGGTAAGTTTGAAGATGTTAGGATGGCCCTTTATGATCTCTTATCGAGGGGGTTAGAGCCCAATGTGATAACTTTCAACACTTTGCTCCATTGTATTTGCATCCTTGGCAGATGGCAAGAGGCTGAAGAGCTTTTCTCTATTATGGACCAAACTTCAAATACCCCAACTATGGTTACTTACAATATATTGATCAATAGCCTATGCAAGTCTGGTCTATTGGATCGGGCAATTGATTTCTTAGCTCAGATGGTCTCTCAGGGATGCTCACCAGACATAATTACGTATAATACCTTTTTGGGTGCAATGTGCAAAGAGGGTATGGTGGATGAAGCCTTTGATGTACTCCATGTTTTAAAAACCAAGGATGTTTCTCTTGTTCAAGTTACATATAATACTGTGATTGATGGTTTGGCGAAGAAGGGTGATATGGGAAAAGCTTTAGGGTTATTAGGTGAGATGATTAGGGCAAAAATTGAACCTGATGAAATCACTTATACTTCTTTAATTGGTGGGCTTTGTAGGACTGATATGGTGGAGGAGGCTGTGAAAATGTTAATGGAGATGGTAAGGAAAAGATTTAGGCCTCAAATTAGTAGTTATAATTCAGTGATTAAGGGTTTGTGCATTGGGAACAAGGTGGATGTTGCTATAGATATACTGGATATGATGGTTTCTATGAGGTGTAGGCCTAATGAAGCAACATATGGTGCATTGATTAGAGGTGTGGCTTCTGCTGGTAAGACAGAAGAGGCCATTGAGCTGCATAAAAAGCTTATAGAGCGCAAGGTTCTTAGGAAAGATGTCAGAGAATACTGAATATGTTGGTGACGTCCTCTTAACAAGATTTTTATGGAGAAAGCTTAAGTGGTCCCTTTAGTTTCCAACCAATAGCTAGTCTGAACCTTCAGCTGTGCCAGGTATTTAATTATTCTTTTTTAAAAAATTTTGTTTATGCAGCATCATGTTTTTTCTTAGAATATTGTTGTGGTGAATTTATTATGAAAAGTGGAATGGCATGCTTAGATTGTGAAAATGTTAGATGTTAATACCTATACATTTTGTCAAAAATATATAGAAGCATTTCTGAGACCATGCCCTAGTGGCTATGGCCTAGCTGAACGCTCCTATATTTATTAAATAATGGACATAAGCTAGTGCTTTGAATGATTTATGCCTTTATTCATTGAAAAGAGTGTGGGTGTGAAGTACACATCTTTTTTAATCTTGCTCTTCCAATTGTGTGTGTGTGTGTGCTTGTGTTTGTCTGTATGAGAGCGAGAGAGAGAGCGAGAGAGAGAGAGAGAGAGAGAGAGAGAGAGAGAGAGAGAGAGAGAGAGAGAGAGAGTAAACAGACGCGACGAGTAGAAGAAGTAATAGAGTAGACGGACGGACGGGACGGGACGGGCGGACGTACGTAGTAGTAGTACGTTACTACGTTC